GGTGTAAGATCCAATTTCTTTAATTTGTAAAAAATTGGTTCCTCCATTGAAGTCCCTTACTTACTCTTTTATTTCTTTTTTTTTTAAGATTAATCTCTTGGATTGATAAAGATGACATAAAAGCCAAAGTAGAAGATTTCTTGGGCCATATTCCAACTCTTTTAGCTTGTGCTTCTTGTTGCCTTGCTAAAACAATCACTACTTCTTTCAACTTCTCTCAATTATTAGTACTACCACTCTTTGTAGACTTATCTACAAGAAGCATGAATAGCTTGTCTCTTAAGGCATCATCAATACCATTTAAAAGCAATTATATTTTTACAACATCCAATGACCACCTCTTTAAGGATGAGAGTTGATAAAATTTTCTTTCAAATTCTTCCAAAAACTCATAAAGATCTATATGCTTGCTTGGTTGCAGCTCTATCCAATCTAAAAACTTTTGTTTAATAATCCTATCGTCATCGCTATCAATAAACTCTTCCTTCAAAAGTTCTTGAAATTTTGACCATGTCTCTACATCCTCTTCAAGTAATTTCTTTCCTTTTTTATGAATTCTAGGTTCAATAGCCAAATAGAAGCTTGAAATCATCTTTGCCTCAAGGATTTGATATGTCTCCATCTCACATATATAAACTTGTAAAAACTTAGTCATATTGCATCCTTCAAACCTCCCAAATTTGTTGATGACTCCTTACAATGCCTTTGTGATACCTTTTTCAATTGCTTGCATCATTTTTTGTTATTCCATGAATATACAAAAAGCCTTAAAAAACTCACTAAAATTTGGTCCATCCAAAATATTCAACCTATCCAAAAACCTTGATGACACATCTTCCATTTTGTTCAAAAATATCCCTTGAAATGCTCTAATAAGTACCTTATGATACTTCAAAATGCTCCAACATGTCTATAAAGCCTTATAGTACTCCATGATAATCCAAATATTACCATTGTGTTCTAAAGTAGTCTCTAAAGCTCTAAGAACTCAAAAAGCTCTGAAATCAATCTTTTTTCTGTGAAATGGACAATCAATCTCAATAACCACCAATAAAACTCAACACCTTCTATCTTAAGCTTTTCACGATGGATTCACCACTTATGTTGTATTACATGAAGTCTCGCTTGAAAGTATGCTTGGCACTTAGCTCTAAAAGATAAAAAGAATTTGCAATAACAAGTTCTAACCACTTTGTCAAAATTATATATAAATTTCTATAGAAGCTTAATAAATATAATCAAGCATCAATTAAGTCCAATTATTATTATTTTATTATTTTATAATTTATTTTTTGAAATAAATTATAAAAAAATATAAAAAAATCTAGAAGAAATCTTAAAGAAATCTTAAAGAATCCTAAAGAATCTTAAAGAAATCCTAAAGAAATTCTAAAGAAACTCTAAAGAAATTCAAACCAATTCTAAACCAAACCAAATTCTAACCCTAACCAAATCCTAATTCTTAACCAAATCCTAATCTTAATCAAATCCTAATCAATTTTTTAAATCTCAAATAAATTTCTAACAATCTTACAATAGATTTTGAAATTCAATAAATAATGTTTGAACTATTGATATGAACTCAAATTTTACAAATTCTTCATTAATTAAATTAACAATAAGCACAAAATAAATTGAAATAGATCAAAATTACCAAATCATCATTGGAAGTTGGTTTTGTACCTCGGGATCTATTTTCAACTCAGGTTTATAACCGGCCTTCTATGGATATCAATATTTAGTTTTTCTTAGGTAATTTTTGCTAAAATATACTCCTAATTCCTTCCTATATATGCCTATATATTTTATTTTTCTAATATACCTTATTTTACCTTATTTATGGCCCTATAAATTAAGTAGAAGTCGCTTTTCTCAAAAGACAGCATTACTACTAAAAGTTTTATTACCTTCCTATCTTTTATCCATATTTTTCTACTTTATCTTTTAACTTGGTTCTTCTATGATAAGATCCATATTATTATCTTTTACCATATAGTCATGTTACAATACAACAATGATGACTGGACTAAAAGCCCTTTCTAAATAATGACGCTATTCTTCAAAAGAATCCATAATTGTAAGAAGTTCTTTATCGTGGACCTCATAGTTAATCTCGGTTGTTGAGAATTTCTTGGAATAGAAAGCTACTAGGTGGAGCTTATCATCTTCTCCTATTTGTGACAAAATTGCACCCATAGAAAAATTTGATGCATTGGTTTCTATAAAAAAATACCTTCAAAAAGTTGACATGATATATGTCCTATGACATTAAATATAGTAGTTGGATTTTTATACCATTTTGGATTTTAGATCTACTTTTTATGTTAAAATATATTCATATTTTTGTATACTTTAAATTCTACAAATACATTAAATCTTTTTAAAATATTTTTAAAATCTTTTGAAGGACTAAGTCTTTTTTTAGTTATAATTATTCTTTATTAACAAATCTGAAGTTGTATCTACAAAAAACACTTTGGTGTATTTTTGGAATTTTGGTTTTTGTTATTAATTTATTTTTTATAAAATATTCCCATTCTACTAAGGATAAAATGTGTAACATTTATGTATATATATATATATATATATATATATATATCTATATATATGTTAATTAAAAGATAAATTAGTAATAAAATAAAGAAAATAAAAATTTTCATGATAGTTATTTGTTATATAATATAAATAAATTCTATTAAAGACACCTTAATGATTATAAATTTTTTTTATCAATATCTATTTTTGTATTGGAGCAAATTATTGTTCGTACATTTTGATTATTTTGTGGCAAAAAAGCCATACAAATAATATATCGTGATGATTTTATATAAATTTTATCAAAATCGTTATAAATAATTTATAATTTGTATTTATTATATTATTTTTATGCATTTATCATGTTATTTTGTTGAATAAGACCTCTATTCTATTTAGAGTGTTGTCTTATATATATATATATATATATATATATATATATATATGACTAAAAGACGTTTTTAAATAAAAATATATTAAGTTTTGAAAAGTAACATTTATTTTTAAGAAGATTAAGTATATTTTCTATAAATATATTTAAATATCTAATAAAAATTATAATAAATTCTAAAAAAACTATATTCTTAAAGATATTTTATTATCATTTTTTTGTGGTGTTATTGTATAGAAAGTAAAAATGTAATGTTAAAAGTAGTTATTGTAATCAATTATTTCAATATAAAAGAGAATTAAGGAGAAGCTACCATCTAGTATTAATTAAAAGTAATCAATGAGCCTTTTTCAAATTAAACATGAGTGTGGAAATAATCTTCCAATTTATCAAATTTTAGACCTACTAACATTCAAAATACTATATTTAGAACTTATATACACTTAATAATAAGATTTGTTTTCTTTTCTAGTAATATATATTATTAACTTAGATAGTTCTACTAATCAATTTTTTATTCAATCAATGTGATATCTAAAATTAACAACTATGAATAAACGTTGGTTTATATAAATTATTATATTCATATTAATCTAAAATGTATTTGACTATTTGATAGAGCTTGGAAAGACTTATAACAACAAGATGAAATAAAATAGAAGATCATAAAGAGCTTAATTATTATAATTATAATTTAAAGAATTTTACTTTTTTATTATAAAAATAAAATATTAAATAACTATAATTATAACTATAAATTCAATAATTAGCATTATATAGGAGAATCTTTGAATAAAGGAAATTGCTTGATTAATATCTTATATTAGATATATGAATTGACTAAAATATAAATATTAATATTTTTACCACCCTTAAGTTTTAATAGTTAAGTAGATGCCTTGGTATAATTTCGCAATGTATTCAAATCAATAAAATCTGATTTGAACTTTTTTTTATAGAAGTTAGAACTTAATAATATAATTTTCTAAGTCTTACAAATACTAATAGAATTGGTATATTCTAGCACAATCTTTAATTTTAGAGATTCTTTTCTTTGTTTTGATTTGTATAAAATTAAATATTACCTATATTATATAATTTTATATATAGTTTTAAATTAATATCAACTATTATTTTATTAGTAATAAATAACTTAACATATATTACAATTATTAGAAATAAATAAAAATTTAAGGTTTAAGATAATATTTAAAATAGCTATTGTTGTATTGATATATATATATATATATATATATATATATATATATATCTATAATATTTCAAAACATTGCAAAAGTTACTCATAGATGGTAACACATTTGAATTAACTTATTAAATATTATGAAAATATGATTAAAGAATAATACAAATATCTAATGAACATAAAAAAATTATAATATACTATAAAAAACAATAACTATTATATTTATTAAATCTAAAAATCTGAAATAGAATCATATTATTCTATGGCAATCTATTTGATGATCAAATTGTTTAAATAAACCAAAATCAAAGGCATTCACAATAATTAACCATTATCATTTTTATAAAAAGATCCCAATAATGATCCATTTTTTAAATTTTTTATTATACGGTTTTTGATACATTGTTCTATGTCTAGTTAAATTTAAATGTAACATCTTTTCAATAAGTTACAAGATTCATACATGAAGATTCCGATTCTTTCATTTGTACTCCTTAAAAAGGAATCAATATGAAGAACATAGCCATTGTTTGTAAAACTTTAAGATACATTATTTTCTGACTAAGGCATGTTATTTCAGAGGAAAACTCCACTAGCGCTATAAAATTCATTCAATTCCCCTATATTTCTATTTATAATGTTTCAGATTTTGATATACTTACATAGCTTTACCACCAATACATGTCTGTAAATACCATCTCATATACACAGATACACACATATTTATATATACGTATAAATACATGTAAGTCATGCTCCAACGCAAATTCAAAACTTTGAAAGCCATTCCTAACGAGACCGTATAAAATACGCGAGGGCTGACGTCATGAAGTATAGACAAGTCGTCTCTCTCCGAGAAAACCCTAATCGCAAAACTCCCTCATCTTTTTTGCGCTACAGCTTTGCCCTCGACCAGGTCTTTGCTTCTCAGCGGCATTGCTCTCGCTCTCTCGCTCTCCCCCTCTCTCCCGCTCTCTCTCTCCCTCTCTCTACCCCTCTGTCCACTACTCGGACTGTTGTTGATTCTTTTCCTTAGGGAGAGGTGCAGAGAAAGCCGACGCCGCGATGACGACTTTGTTGGAGACCTCGGAGGAGGAGCCGACGATGGCCGTGGCCCGCACCATTGCAGAGCTTGCGTGGTCTCAAGGCGGCCCCGATGTGAGATATTACTTGTCTTCCGCACTTACTCGGTTCTTCGCATTTTGAGACTTTTGCAGTAGTCAATGTTCAGGTCGAGACAGGCTGGGTGCAATCTTGAGTCACTTATGTGAAGTTTTCAGCTGTCAATTAAGGGAAAATTATCAGACTTGGCTTGGCGGGCACTCGACGCACTGAATGTTTCGTCGCCTGAATTTATGAGATGAAAATGACGGAGTGGCGATTTTTTGTAGTAGATTTCTGCTGCAATGGATTTGGGTGACAAGTCTATTGCTGTTGATCGAACTCTCGGTTTTCATGTCTTCTGTATAGATTGCGGGACCTGCAGTTGCTCAATATTGCAATGAAGCTCAAGTGTATCTGTTTGATAGGCGCTACCCAGATCTTGTAAACTTATTGCTCACATCTGCAGACCTCGTTCTTGCGAATGCTTCTGAGAAAGGTATTTATCACGTGTTCGATCTTCATACCTCTCATATTTCAGCGATCATGTTTAGGTTAATTGGAGTCATAATTGCTGTGCTTTTTCTCACTTAGAGGCGAAGATTTATTGGGCCTATTCTATTTTTCGTGGAATAATGGACCTTTGAGAGCCATCGAACCCTTTTCCTATTCTTGACGTGTATCAGTAATTTAGACGAGACTCCGTGAAAGGAATGAATTTTCCGATTCTTCATACATGTCACTCGAATTTATATTATTTAAGTTAATCTCAATGCTTGTGTGCTGTAGATATGGAGTGCATTTTTACAGTTATCTCCAATCTGGTATCGAAGGCACAAAGTCCGGATGACGCACTTGCCATGGCGGACCAAATCGCTAACAAGCTCACCGTTCAGCCCGTTGACAAGCCAGTCAGTCGACTGAAAATGTATCTCGTTTCGGCCATAACCCTCTTAGTTTTATTGAGATTTGGACGCGGATGTATTTGCTGCAGTGGCATGAGCAAGAGCACAAAGTTTATATTGCTTCGAGGTGGCTATCTGCGTCGAATGTGTATATATTTTAATGGTTTCATTTTATACAAGATTAGTGCAAGGTTGCTATGGAACGAAATCCATAGATATTTCCCTTATACTACATCATCCTCCAGTCTACTTATAATTCAGAAATCTTGTTTTTCTGACCTGAGGTTTGTTTTGTGGGTCTTGCAGCCTATTTCACTTGTACAATGTGCTAGAGAACCCCTATGGTCGGTTTTTAATATTCAAGAGAGTACTCAAGCTTGCCGTGGCCGGGAAAGTAACAGAACTTATTGTACCTACCTTCAAGCGTATGGATACATTCATTCACGAGTGGAATATTAGCAAGAGTGACAAGCGTGATGTTTTCCTGTCTGCAACGAATATTCTGAAGGAACAGAAAGGGTAGGTTTCGAATGAAGTTTCGCATCTCTAGTTTGGTCTTACCTAAGGTCAATTCGTTTTTATTGTAATCTATTACGTTACAATGGTTCATTATGGCATTATATCACGGCGATCGAAATTTAAATATAACCTGCTGGATACCAGTCTTCTCGAAGCAGTTGTTGAAGCTGATCTGTGAAACTATCGTTGGCATTCTTTATGTTAGTGAATCAGGTTTCATCTTAAAATTCGTCATTAAGTGTGATTCATTTTTTTCCCCATCGGTTTCTCCTTTCAAAAACATGGAAATCACGCAGGTATGTGAAGGATTCTTATACGTTTCTGTTCAAGTACCTCCAAACCTTTGCTGGGGAGGATAAGAGCACACTGAGTGAGGCGAAAGAGGAAGCTGTTAGAGCCATCATCGAATTTGTGAAGTCTCCAGATATGTTCCAGGTTCAAATCGATTATTTTGACTACAAATTTTCCGTGCTTGTACTGCTTGTAGAAGCATATATCCTGCCTTTTTCATTTCCCATCCCTTAAGTTGTTTCAGTGAAGTCATGTGCTCACTAAGGTTGTTGTCGCAGAAACATCGGTCTGGAGATCAGAGCGTTTACCTTGTAAGGAATTGGAACTTTGAACCCTTCAATAGAGTTGCTAGGATATGTACTGACATGTTCTGTCTGCACACGTACTTGACTCTTTGGGCAGCACATGCATGTGGAAGCACACCAAAACTCAACTTTCGCTTGTTGTTGGTGTGTTTTGTATGGGATCTACAGTGTGACCTACTGGATATGCCAGCTGTGAAACAGTTGGAAAAGGACACCAAATATGCGCCTGTGTATCGTTTGCTCGAAATATTTTTGACTGGACGTCTTTCGAACTATCTCGACTTTCACGGAGCAGATTCGAATACTTTGAAGACTTATGGTATGTGTGCCTCATTAGCTATTCTGCCTACGGTTCTATCTTCCAGTATATAAATCACTTTGTAGAACTTGAACTTTACTAACGACTTGTGGGCGCACGCAGGACTTGTGCACGAGGAGTGTGTGACTAAGATGCGGCTGATGTCACTAGTTGGTCTTGCTACTGCGGGTTCTGGGGAGGTTTCTTACGCCGTTATTCGAGATACCTTGAAGGTATATTGTAGAAGCCTAATAAAGGCGCTTATCTCTTTTTCGCACTCTACGAGATATTCTTGACGACCTTATCATTCCGTGATCAGGTTTCCCATTTACAAAATTTTCGTTTGACTTGGGCAGGTTGCCGATGATGAGGTTGAGTACTGGGTAGTGAGAGCTATTGCTGCAAAGCTTCTGGAGGCTAAGATGGATCAACTGAGACAAGTTGTTATTATAGGGTGCGTCTCGATCTAAATCAACGAAGCCAAAGAAATGAATGTTCTCATTATATCTCGTCCTCTCTTTACTGCATAGCTTATAATGTTGTACAAGTGTCACAGCTTCTGGGTGATACCGTTGAGTTCAGTTTTTAGCAGGTATGACAATTGTCTTGTTGTTGTAATTGCCTGTCTTCTCATTGTTAAACATAAGCTCTTGACACTCCATGTTGCAGTCGTTGCACTGAGCGAGTTTTTGGACCTGCACAATGGCAAGAGTTGCGGAGAGGGCTTGCTGGGTGGAAGGTTAGCATCTACGTTTTTATTTTTTAATTACTTCAGTTGTGTTAGTCCTGTTGTTAAGTCAAGGGTTACCGTATGTTGTCCTGCTAGCATTCGTGTGTTTGTTTGGTACAGGAATTTGTAAAACCAAAATTCGTCTCGGCCTCTACCTTTGAGGTTCAGATTTGAAGTAGCTGCTTCTGGAATGTAGTCTGTTGCCTGGTCTAGTCTCTTTCCGGCTCTAGGTAGTCTGTCTTGTAGGTGTCTTGATATGTGGAGTGCTACCGCATTAATATCCAAGTGGTTTCGGTACAGGAAAATATTAGCAACGTATCAAGGATAATTGCTCATGCGAAACTATCACAAGGCGGCATCCCGCAAGGACTTCAGGCGTAATTAACGAAACTAGCATCCTGTCATTTAGACTAAGGTCTGCAAGTTGTGCAAAAGGTCAGTAGTGAGCTAAGTTGTTCGAGACACTTAGGGTTGACTTTTGAAGTTCTCTCAGGACAATTTTCTCGGAAGCATTGTCGAACATGGTCGGTTTCGATCACGAGTGTCATCATTGTTGTCATCATTTCTATTTTCGTTATGGTAGTCAAGTCTCCTTCCGGACTTTCGGTCATTAGCTGAACTTGAAGAACCTTATACTGCATGCTGTGCTTCTGTAGTCGTAGCAATTTACAGAGCTTCCGGTAAATGTTCAATTTAATGTGGTCATATTGGTTTCTCTTTAGTGTTGCCCTCATGCTTCCTTTTTAGTACTTTCTTTGATGACATGTTGATGGACAATCATTCAGATTAAACTGCACACCATATAAATCAGTGTAAGTGATAGTCTGATTTATTTACACCTCCCTTACGTCGCTAACCTGAAAACTTGATCTTCGTTTCTCAAACCTTGGTTTTGGATGTTGAAATCAGAGAGATTTATGCTGGCTTGGCTTTAGATTTGGTCAGGCGAGATTTATCACTTTCTTGCATGCGGGGAATGCTGAAATTTTGTGCTTTGTAACATTTTGGTTAATGTTAGATTTTTTTTCTTTTAATCTATACATTGGTTTTTAAATTACTTGAATTATATTTTTGGGGGAGCGGGCTAACCGATATGATTTGTTGTCTTGAATAGAAGAACAGTATCAAACTTGTATTCATTAGGAAGCAGTTGGAACGTAGTGGATTGGTAGAGGTGAACTTAATTGCAACGGTGAAGGTGAAGAAACCTCCAGTCTTAGGAACGAATACAAGAAAGTGATCCTGAAACATGTTGAGCAATTACTCACTAATAAAAGCATAAAATCTTCTAGGGGTAGTGCCCTTGCAAAGGAGGGGATAGAAAGGTTGTCCTCTCTTCCCCCTTCAGAACCACCATAAAGATAGTCCTGAAGGATGGGCAAGTTTGCTGTGACTTTTACAACAATAAGACATAATACACAATACAACTACAACATAACAAACCATTACTATGCTTTTTGCGGTAAATTATTATTCCCAAAATATGTGTGGTAAAACATTATTGCCTAGTGTATATGTTTTGTTTGTGGAAGAAATTGACTACCTTCCTGCAATTAATCAAAAACTTTTGTTAATTAGACTACATAAAATACATCAGAAGAAGATATAAATAAAACACATAAACATATCATTTCTTTTACACCAATATATTTATATGTATTTTTCTATTTTTTATTGTTTATTTTTATAAAGAACATTTTTCTTTAGAAGATCTCCAAAACATCATGATTTATAGAGAAATATTACAATCTTTGAAATTTTTTATGCTTTCTCAACAGATTCAACAATAATAATAAGCTTGACAAAAAAAAAAAGAAAAAAAAAAGAAAAAAAAAAACTCAATCAAATACAGAAGTGATAAGCTCTTGTTAATTTATTCACTACTAATAATAATTATTGTGCCAGAATTTATTGTATAAATACATTTATGAATACACACACACATGCATGGCTTGTTTAACATTTTTTGTTCAAAGGTGCTTATATTTCTGGCCCATTCATGACTTGGTTAATTGTAATTGTAGACATCTTTTGTGCATGTCTTTTATGTTTAGTTACCACAAAATACTATACATTTGATTGAAATGGACATTGGCAACCTGAACAACAAACCATGAGACAGTCTGTACATGAACAGCTGTGAATGAGTCTTTATCAGCTCCAGTGATGATGTGAAAGGATACCAGTCACGAACAATTCATTGAATAAAAACATTTAAGCCTGTTTTACCTTCGATGCAAATTTATACCAACTACAAATAGAAGAGTCTACTGATCATTGTTCCTGTTACCCGTAGGTTTTGTGAGGAGACATTACGCAAAGCCTCTAGCATTTGGGACAAATTTATCCTATTTCGACATCCTAAACTAGACTTGACAACAATCTCATCACGGGAACAGGGAGGGTAATAGTATTTAAGGAAAAGGACACATTTGTGAGAGGCCTGTGATTCACATCTTGTCTCAATCATATAGATCATGGAGATGTGCAAGTCCAAAATTTCAAGTACCTTTCCTAGCATTGATCAATTTAGACATATATTTCAAATCACAGGATGTAAATGCCACAAGTTTAGAGAAAAAATTGAGCGGTTGAGTCTGGAAAAAGAACAGTGTAACTAACTTCACTAAATATGAAGATATACAGATTCAAGACTTGGAAAACTTTCTTGGTCTGGCAAATGTTGGAGACCTCAACCATACTCTACAAAATTACTTCAGTACACCAATTACACCAGATACTGTGGAGTACAGTGATAACAAGGGCTCCGCACACAATACCCATCACTCAATGCATGCCATCCACAAGGGATATATTCTATATGAACTATAAACCCCACCCCACCTGGTGTCTTCAGTGTAGTGGTTCACAACTGTGACCATCGATTGGTTTCCGCTCTACATAATCCTACTGACGAGTGGCGAATATAATCAAGTCAAGGACCTAATCCAGACTAAGATTCAACCTTTTGAAAAGCACAAGAAAATGACGCTCAGGAACAGAGTACACAAAGCCGAGTGCCGCTCCATTTGTATGACCTCCGCCCTGCAAACAAAGGTATGCACTGTTTTATCTCCATAAACTCATCTCTTAACATATCTGATGTGATAATATCCGATGTGCCAAAACTTGGGCAGTATACAGGGGAGATACCATAAAAAGTAGAATGAGAATCGACAGACTAACCTTTCCATCTAGAAGCACGAGTTCACCGTCTATCCATTGGGGGTTACGAAAGCCAGGCTCAGCCAACCTCCCTTGCCCTTTATACCTTGTTACCTGCGAAGGAGAAAAATAAATAAGCGTCTGTGAAGAAATAGCGCTTGTTTTGTGGAGATATTTCATTTAAATTAAATTACGTATTTCTTTTAAGAAAACAGAAAGAAGAAACTTATCCAACCGTTATTGCCATTAAGGAAATTACGAAGCAGGATCTCAAGTTTCACCGGTGGATCAAAAGTAAACCTCTAAAAGGACAAATATCCAAACTTAAAACTAGAAAAAAAGCCTATCCAGTGTAAGAACACACCACTCCAAGTTCCTCGGGATAAGCTCCACGGTGAGAGAGTCGGCTTTCTCGTCCTGTTCTGGCCCTGAAAGTCACCTGTTTGCAAGATACGCCCATTACTTAATTTTCCATTAGTAAAGAATCAAGACACAACGAACCCTCAATTTGATTGGAGAAATAGGGGTTAATTGAGAGTTACAGCATACACGCCAAATTGATAAAGCATGCTCTCTAAAAATCTAAGACATCACTGCAAACTGATCATTCACACCACAGTGCGTAAGCAGAATAGAGTGGAGAAGGAGTACCTGGCCAGCAGGAACGTTCAAGTCGCCCGTCAACTTCACAGCCTCTACATATTCAAAGAACTCCAGGTTCTGGCCACTCGAGCCAGAATCACCAGTTTCCCAATGACCATATTTTCGTTGCAATTGCACTACCTCCGAGGTATAAGGTCCAAAAGCGCCAATATATAGTCCTGCACATATTAAAATTCTAAGACCCGAAATACTTTGCAAGTCCCCTATCACAAAAACACTTAAGGTTTTGGCAGCAACCGAAGTTGCGAATCATCATTACTAAACAAGAACATAAAAAACCATAAACGAATATAACATGAAAAGAGCATACTAACCACAAAGTGGATCAGTGCTGCTGTCGGACACATTGATTCGACGGAAATTAGTGCTGGGAAACAAGCCACGTCGCCTTTGAGCTTGGCTAACAGCCAGTTTGATGATCTCTCCCATCTCCTTCGAGACCTAAAACATGAAAGCACAAATTACAATCAAACCTAGGCAGCCTAAATTTGTCCTAATTCTGCTATTTACTCATTTAATAAGAGGTGTGCGAAACACCAAGCACCAAGTTCCTTACACAGGAGCCATATCCCACACTGTACTTGACATCCGAAATAGCAGCTCAGAAGGAGACCCAGAATACTCCAAATACTTACCTTCACGGGCACCTTCTCAACGTTCCAAAGAACTTTCGCAACATCATCCGGCATCAGATCAGCTGAAGCTTGGGTTGCAATGGTCGCCACTTTCCATGATGGTGTCGACTCTTTAGTTGGAGCAGCTCCGGCTGGTGTACCACCTGAATCTTCAATGTGGAACGTAAAACTATTTCGCCCTTGACGTTCGATTCTAGCAGGGACCCGAACAGGAAGCTTGGGGGGTTCTGAATCCACGTTATTCTGTAAAATTCCCCCTACTACTAACCTAATGGGCGTTTCCTTCTCAACTTCCCCAATGCCTCCTACTGGAATCTTCCCATCAAGAGGAAATTTGCTACTTAATCCCTTCTTCTCAGAAGTGTTATTACTATTAGTATTGTTGGTGCTAGCCTCTGGAAGATCCTGTTGCTTACTGCTGATAGAATCCTCTTGCCCCATCAACTGCTCCACTATCTTGGGTATATCCTTCTCCGCACCTTCTGGTGCAATAACCTAGAGAGGCAACAAATTATTTAATTTAGAAATGATCGCCAATGGTGCTCAACATCCATTCATAAACTTTCCTGTCATCAACCCAAAACTATTGCAGAGTCCAGCATGCAAAGATGTGTCACCAGCCACAAACTGAAAAAGTACCTTAAACACCTTCAGCTTCACGTCTGGCATGCGATCCTTCAAAAAACTCACAATTCTACTCAAAGGCTCATCTGACATTGCGCTATCATCAGTCTTTCCCTTTCCAATCTCTGAAATGTCTTCTGACAATCCTTGCGTAGTATCACTAGCATCTTCATCTCTGGCTGCGTTCTCAACATCCACTACATTTCCATCCGCAGCTTTTGAAAAGCCGGATGAGGGTTCGGATGTCACTGCTGTATCTCGTTGCAAGTACACAGCCTGTCCAAGCCGACTGTACCACATTAAAGCCATGCTACAAGCCTAACTTGTAGTAGTCCAGACCACAAAAATTCATAATTTCATCTCAAGTTCATGCAAATGCCATAAGGATGCTGTTCGTGACATTCTTGAAGGAAGGAACCAAAATTATCTACAATCCCAAGCCTAAAATTGATTCAACAAATCACCTGCAGCCCGTAGTCTCTCTCTCCTTCCTTTGTAATAAAAATCTCAAACAACGGAACACCAGCTGCAGCAGTAGCCAATTGCCTGGAAGAAGTATGATAACCACATCTCTAATGAGGCTGGCCGCAAAAGACATTATACAGAGTACTCCATCGTGTCCTCATATCTTAATGAAGCTAAACCTTACAGGAAGTTCGGAAATTACGTGGAAATCATATGAACAAACCTAGCACTGTAGCCTTTAGCAACAAGTCTTCCATGAGCAGCATAAATGTTAATAATACGACCATAGGGGTCGTTTCCTCCTTCCGCAAGACCGACCCACCATCCCACCTGATCATGCCAGACACACGTAAGATGGCAGCCAAATTTGAAGTAAAATATGCAGAATAATATGTCACTGCAAATTAGCTAACTCAACCAATTGTGGTGCGCAAATTCGCAGGGTTCTTATTCGAAAAGAAAGTTCCAAGGCAGCGAATGTCTTCTGTCTAAGCATCAAAACCCTAGCGTATCCTAAACAACACACATTCTGGAACTACATCACTTACCAGGCCAGCACCCGCTTTGTCCCTAAATAATGTAGCATTGTCGTAGCGTTCCTCAGCCAAAGCTTTCTGATATAAAAAGAACGATTCGAATTAGCAACTCCAACACGTAATATAGAAGAACGATACCCAAGAATGTTGCAACTAAACCTTCCGTGGAAGACCTGCGCCAGACAGTAAACAACTCCAGATTTCAAATAGAAACTGAATTAAATACAAATAAGGTAAGTTTACCTTCAAGCCGTTCATAACCTCTGCTACAACATCTTTCTGTGTCACAGCGTCGAGTGCAACCTTACATTTTGCGGCAGCTTGGAAATTCTCTTGCTCAACAGCCTTCTCCAATTGGGACTGAAAAGACAACCATACGTATCAAAATTCTGATCGAAAGTCTTCTTCCAACCAGACCAAAAACTGAAGAAATTATCAAATGTATACTTTGACAACAAAAGACAATGTTCATGAAGTGGTCACTAACCTTGAGAGTAGTGGCCAGACTTTCAGAAGTTTCAACCTCAGCAAAAACTTTCTGCCATCTCTCCCAATCACTCTCGTGCTCTGACTCCTGCTCAGGCATGAACTCATCATCAATTTCCTACTTAGACTTGACAAATTATATTTTCCAAGTAACCTTGCAACTTCTGGCTACGAACGCCTAGCATATGACGCAATGGATTTCCTAATTTGGCGCCCGTGCCGAACTGACACAATTCACAATGTTCTCTCTGAAAACTCAAAAATCCAACACCCTGTTCATCGTTGAACTCTACCAGAACTCTTTCCAAACAGTTCTTTTTCTTACACCAATCTACTAGATCATGAGTTACTGACTTTTTTTTTTTTGAAAATCAGAACCCCATCGTGCTCAGTCGCACACTGTCTCCGTCAAGTTCTTCAATTCTGTGATTCTTAAAATGCTTCGTTGCCGTTGTTTCCTGTGCTATAGTAAATTCCAATAGCAATAGACCAATAGAGCGCACCCAACCATCCACTACCCGAGTCTATCTGATCTTATCTTGTGTTGTGCGAAACGACAAGTTCACTTAGTTCACATTCCACAAGTGAAGGAAGTCCCACCCGAAGCTAGCTCGGTACAGCTGATGGAACAGTTCCAATTAACGCTCTTTCAAGCGACAGAAGCTCAAAGTAACGAAGCGAATGAAGTCTTCCACTAACTCATGTAACCCTAGTATAAAATTTGCAAGATGCACAATTAAGACGCTCATAATTGATAGCCTAAACAGAATCGACATTTCTGTCCGATCAATCGCTGAATCCAAGACAGCCGCGAGCAGAATTAACCATTCGTCTAATTTCGATAAATTCACACGTCATGCGCACATACAATTTGAGTTAAGATCGCCAGACAACACACCTGCATGTGCTTGTGTTGAGAAGGGATATCCCACACTGACGAAGGTGCAGCGACTCCGCCGTTTGCATGGTCATTCTCCCGTAGCGAGTTGCTCGTGTCCTCTAAACCCCCTGAGGCAGAACACCGGCAAGCAAAGGAGCTGGAATTGTTCAATCTCTGCTTGTTCTGACGCCCTGTATCCAAGGCTTTCACAATCCTGTGGAAAGTGCTGCATCCGCGTGGCTGCTGCGCCACAGCCTGGGTGGTGAGGCATCGTGAGGCATTATGAGAGTTGATTCCACATACCACTTGCGCAGGCGAGGAAGAAGGGAGAGTGCACACACGAAGTGGTGCAGCCACTGCGGCTCCAACCGCCCACATACTAGCAATCCACTGTAATTCCCACCTTCTTGAAAAACCTCAGCATTCACTGTGCGTCACAAGCATCAGAATTCCGCAGTACCGTCAATTGCTGGTGGCGGAAGTAGAGATACACATAGAGAAACTCTTTAAAAGACAAAGCTCCAACACAGAATATAAACATCAATTTACCCTAACCGCATAAACCATCAGAATCCCACAAACTCTGCAAGCGGCCACAAAGACCGCCGAACTCAGAGCAACCGAGAAATCAACAGTACTGAACAAAGGGAAACCGGCCCAAGAGGTAAAATTTTCGGAACCCCCCTTCCCCCCCCCCCCCCCCCCCCCCTAAAACGACTTCTTTAAATCATACGAGTGAGACGCACCTCAATCCAAACCCACGGAGCGTTAATTGCCAATCTTCGAAATCTCAAAAGCTGCTCTAGAACCTCAAAGCCCACAGAATCTACAAGACAGAAGGTGCCCGAATTTGGCCTGGGAATGAAAATTCTCAGAAAAATCAATGCAAAGCCACAGTGCCTCTAGAATCCGCAACCTCCACAACCTCCCAAAATTGCCTTGAATTCTCCCGAACCCGAATGAATGAGTACGCGGTGCGACAGAAAGAAAACGCTCCAGCAAGATAGTGCGGCTCCGGGAAGATTGGGTGCCAGCCCAACAGCAACCATGTAGTGGAAAGAGAAGTTCCTCAGGAAACTCAGCTAACCTTCCAACGACGATGGCCAAATCCTCGTCGTAACCCACAAGCCCTCAAGCCAAACAATCAAAGCAGACCCTTCTCAAACTGTCCCGGAGAAAGAAGATATTGACGAATGTCTTCCATCCGCACTCATCCAGGCGGGGTTTGATTGATGCCTACCACAAACAATGGGTCCCACGGGGGCCTCACTTGAAGCTTTCTTTTTCTATCCATGGGATACAGCTGACGCTCGCCGATTTCCGAATGGATCTTTTAAGATCTCGTCGTGGGCGTTCATTAGCCCAGATTTTCGTAGCCATCCTCATCATTCAACTGGTCACCGCTCTCGGAAGCAAGAAGATACAAGTAAATAGCGATTGAATTCGTCGAGACTTTTTTGTGTAATTGAAAAGCACTATCTGAAGTTCTTTGAGCACTGTATTAGGGATGTTGCTGCGTCGGATGTGTCAGACGAGACGCAACTGCGACCGGTGAAGATTGTCAGCGCATTCATGCGTGCACTTTGTATAGTGTGCATGGGTCGCAGCGCTGTCCTTACCGCGATAGGTAACGCAAAGTACAAATTCTTGAAGAATTGATCCTCTTCGAATGGCTTCGGGACGCGACATTCGAGTCTCCCGAGGTACTGTGATATTCAACAAGTAGCACCGATCGATGTGAGATTCTTATTAGAAATTTGCGCGAGGACATTGTGACGCACACCGGTGTGGGTTGCACACATGTGCTGTATTGTACAATGCTCTGACGGCTGTTACTGTAGTGTACAATCAAATGTTTCGGTCTTAAGGTCTGATGTGAAAAACTAGACCCCGGTCGCGGATCATACAGTTGAGGGTATTTGGGGGGCTCCGTATGTGTGTATGTATGTCCGCTCGCACCTACGATTTTCCTTTCATCGAAAAGTGCGGTCGTCCACCGTAGACTCAGTAAGCAAACGATTTGAGCTTCGAGTTACTCTGGAAGAAATTAAAGTGAGTGTAGCAAAGCGCTGTACTGCTGGTTCGTTTGGGGTTCTCTGCGGTTGGAATAACCTCAACCAGTAGTCCTTGTCGTGGAACGGGTGGTCGAGTCGTTAACGTAGGTATCAGATGGTCATCAACTTCTGCGCAGCCATGTGAGCGTGTGCGCCATCCGCAGTTGGCGAGTCCTGAGCCATCTTTTTATTCTAGGGTATGTGACTTGCACAGCGACCGAGGGGACTTGATGTGAAATACATTTGCAGTAGCAGTCATCAATGAATAAATGTTGAGGGACCACCGTGCGCTACTTGAGAATTGTTGCTTACTGCTTACACTCAATGAATTTATCGCTTGGCTCTCATTCGCACGTGCGTACATAGGAAGACAGTGATTTGCAAGTTGGTAGGTATTGATTATAATCAAAAGATAGCGAAAGAGGGCATAGACGGCAGCTGTAACAATCTGTCTTTTTACATTATGAAGCGGGAACCAGTGGATAGTACATCCACATTTTTAATCAAAGAATGTTTCTTGAAGTATATAAGCCATCCGCAACCTCTTTCTTCTGCTTCACAAGCTAATCAGCAAAACTATTCGTGAGCTCTTCACATATAGCAAAGGAGAGATTGCACTTCAATTATAACAATGGACTCCATGCTGAAGTTATAATTGAATCTACAATTGACTCCTATAGTGGTAGTTGGAGAACTGACCATTATACTAAGAAAATTGTAAGGCTGTGGTCGTAGGTGCCGCCGTAACAACTGCTGTGACGCGCGTGCAGCCAAACGGCGAGTCCAACTACCGGCAACGCGGCCTCCAAATGCGCAAGTCTTTGGGCTCGACAGCACCTGCACCCACAACAGAAATAGACATCCGGAATAGTATCTTCTGTTCATTACTAAGTGTATGAAGCATGGTAATGCTTTGAAGTATGTACCAAAATAAGTCTCTGACATGAGCTATGGCAAGCGAAGTGAGCATCGTAAGAAGTGAAGAGACAACTGGAAGGAAGAGCTTGTCAAAGACACATCTCCACAGAGGGTTGAAGCATCGGAGGGTCAAACTCTCTAAGCAGTTGGTCACGCAAAGCGAGCATGCCTGTTTGATCCTGAACACTGGCTCTAACTGGTGGAAAGAACGCGCGTAGAAGTGCAGGAACTTGCCTAAAGTTTTCAATTGCAGTGCCTAATATCAAAGCTTCAGTCAATCACACAACTTCACTTTCTACATGCAGCTGTAGTTCATCTCCCTCTTCCCCTAACAGTAGCTCAACTAAGGGCTGCACAACATCGTTTGCCTTGAAATCCGAGTCCTTGCGTTTTCTTGTTAACAAGTGTTGCCACCAGCACAATATGTGTCTTAGTTCAAAAGCCTACAATTCTCTCAAAACGTCGTCAAAAGCATTCTAATATGACGTGTTCCAGCTCCATTGTTCATTTCTGATTGTGTCCTAAAATGAAAACAAAAAAAAGCATGTAGAAAATGCAGCAAAGAGCAGCCTTGATAAATCCTCCTCGAACTAGTAACAGAGATGCAAACATTGTGGAACTTGAGCAATCGTAAATTTCGACAGCAAATGGCTTAGGGTTGAGAATACCTGAAGACTCCGTCCTGAAAAAGAAGTTCGACCAGAGCATTTCACAAGCAACGATTCTGATTGGTGAGCAATCGCTTAACAAAATATGGATAAGAGGCCGCTGGAAATTTAAAACTTGGGTAGGTGTCAGTGCGAGTCTCTCCAACACCGTTAACGACCTTGAGATGAGAGCGTAATAAGCAGGTACTGATCAGCAAGATTAGAATTTGTTAGCAAAAAGGCACAAATGGACACACTTACACTCACGCTCCGTTTGAAGAGATTATTTCGATGATTAATCATACCAACATCTACTAGTGATCAAATTGCTGTCATCAATGCTAATAAGGATGTAACCAATTCTATTCCATCAGGGAAGTGGAGCACAAACAGGGTGAGCAACAGCTACGATTGAAAGGATATTGATATAAAAACAGATCCCAATTCATCAATAGTAGTCTAGAAATTTAGTTAGCTAACTGTAGCACCCAAAACATCGTCAAAGAATGACTGAAGCACGGACACAATTGAAGGGAATTCCACATCTCGTGAGAGGAAGTCCAAGTCGTTGTAGTCTCTAGCCATGGAATGACAAATACGATTAACGAGGTGTATAATGTGACCTTTAATGGCATATTCAGCACTCTCCGGAGCCTCACTCATCATGCCAAAGTCCAGAAAGGCCAGGAGTCCATCAGGAGTGGCAAGAAGGTTGCCAGGATGGGGATCGGCGTGGATATAATCATATTCTAGCAACTGGCAAAGGCTGAACTGAATGCCTGTATCCACAAGCTGGAGTATGTTTAAACCCTGAACACCGAAGTATTAAACGATAAGGGAGTAGTGTGGAACTAAGTTTTTGATAAAGTTCCTCGACACGAATATATACAGGCAGCATCCCGTTATTTAAGGGATTGAAGTAAAAGTAGTAGTTAAATCTAGGATGAGGCTATTGTACCGTAAGCTCTCTACACTTCCTCTTACACATCCTGGAGAGTACTATGCTAAATATCTCTCATTTCTACTCGGGTGGCAAGGTCGGGTGCCTGTAAATTGAGTTCCATCGTTAATCACCTCGCCATGAGATTTACGATGGAGAGAATAAGGTTGATTGTTCTTGCTCTGATGTTTACCTTATTGTTGCAGTTCCACTGTCGGAGTTGATGTTGTTCATCATCTTATATGCTATTGTTCTCTTGATAGCTGGATATTTTGTGTTGCCTGTTGAAGTGGGAAGCAAATCTTCAGAAGGAATCAATACTGCAAGTAGGTTGGCCACATGAGTTGTTCAAGTTGATACGCGAGTGACAACACAACTAGTGTCGAGTTCAGGCTCTGCTCAAGATCAGAGGTCTCACAGAGCTGTTTCCAATGTTGCGGAGGTGCCTGCTTTACAACATTCTTACTACACTTCTACACCTCACAAATTTTAAACTATTCAGCGTGGTTTTCAGCCCTGTGTTTATACAAGTTGGGCTGATTGCAAAAAATAGGTTAACAAGTTCAAAGAAGCATACTACAAGGGTTTTAAAGCACTAGAAGAAGCTGAGAAGTTCATACGAAGTGGATTGGATAGAAATATATAATAGCTAGTTCGAGCTTAAGTAGTTACTTCATCAACTGCTTTGAAACAAAGCCTTGATCTGCAGGCTGCAAACTTATTCTTGCTTAAGACTTTAGTCAGAATATCTGCTGACTGTTGCAATGTTTGAACAAAGTTCACCTTAATCGTATCATTTTCTACCTTTTGTCTAGAGAAATGCCAATCTCTTTCAAAGTGCGTCTTCTTCTCATTTAACATGGGACTTTTTGTCAACTTTATGTTTGATAATGTTGTGAGCTGTTTATTTTCAAAGGCTAGTTCTTCAATCAGCCTTATAAGTCATACAACTTTGCATGTTCATTTTGTTAAAGCTCAATATTCAAATTCACAAGAAGATCTTGAGATGGAGTTTTGTTTTTGAGAGCACTAAGATATTTATGTTGGTCAAAGATAGAAAAAATATGCACTTGTCGAAATGCAATCATCTAAGTCATCATTGTAATTGGCATTTATAAATCCCTAAAATTGGTTTTTTCTCTATGGATACCACATGCCAAGTGAAAGATTACAAAAGACATAATTAACAACTCCTTAAGTTGTTTGTTGATGGAAATCTTGAGGTCTATGCATATACCAATTTAAAAAAAAAGTTGGAAAGCCAATATTTTTACAAATTTTTATCAAATAGTTATTTTTTAAAAGTAAACTTTGATATTCTTTCTCATTAATGAATGGAATTCCACTATCTTTTTAAAAAAGTTGCCATATTGTGGTTTGGCTACCAAGTGAAAAAATGCACATATATACCTAATATATAATTTATCATACAATGTAATAAAAGCTATGTTATTAGATTTTGATTGATTACAAAATGTGATTAAATTACTACTTTGAAGGGCTATTATTGAAGTTGATTTTATGTCGATAATAATTTTTATATATTTAGAGCCACCTTTATTAGACATTGGTGACTCTTGAAATCTTATTTGTTTCTTTTATTTAATGTTTAAAATGCATACTATGCAAAATTTATTAGAAAAAGGATTAGAGAAGGGTTTTTGTATAAAAAAGAGTAGCTAAGTCAACCATATGAATGAATAGAGATGGATGATAAAAATCTCCATTCTTAATGGCCAAGATTCATGCCTAATGGACTTCAAGGAGGCTATCGAGGCCTTATTAGGAATTAATGTTACTCTTTTGAAGGTATTCGAACTTAAGAAGCTAGGATCAAGAAGTTTAGGTTTATGGCTATAGTTTTAGTGCAAATTTTGTATGATTTAGAGTTTTTATGAAAGAGATATAGGCACTCAAAATTAAGATGTTGGTTTTGTATATACTGTCACTTTTTTAGACAAAAGATACACATACAAAAAAAAAAAAAAAATTGACAAATACTGTTAGAAAGAACACTTTCTTAGCTATACTTTTCACATTGTGCATGATGAATTTTAAGCTAGAATGAAGGAGATATAGGAAGTTGAAGTCAATGCTTGCAATCTAAGAGCAATAAGTGACCCAATTTACTAGTGGTTGTATTTTGAGCTATATTTTGAGCAATTTGACAAGATTTTGACTAAAAATTTCTAAAAATGTATATTATTATGTTACTAAATTTTATACATAAATTTTGTAGTATTTAAATCTTGGATTTTTGAGATATAGAAAAAATAGTACTGATGTGTTTGTAAATTAAAGTTTAAAGTACTTGCCAAGGTTTTTAAGATATCAAATGATCTATAGTAGATTAAGTCTATATTATCTAAAAATTTAAAAAAATTAAAAAATTAGATCTATTGAAGAAACACAACAAAAATGACACAAGTAAGTAGAAAACAATAAGGTTAGACAGAAGAGAAGTGTGGAATGACATGCCTTTCATTTCCAACACCCTTTACTTATACGTAGAGTTTACATCCATTTTGGCTAACGTTCATCTTACCTTCATCCAACTAAACTCTAGATTCTTCTTAATTTAGCTGTCACTTTAAACCCTAGCCACCACCCATAACCGTAGCTACCACCTTGGTAACTTTCTTTCATTTTCTTGGTGCCTTTTGACTATTAGCAACTTATCTAAGATAATATCTTTTACCTTCTAACTTATCTTTTATTTACTTTAACATAACACTCTCACTTTGCTATTGATCAAAGGTTAGTAAATCTAATCTCTTTGTCAATTTGTAATGTCTATCCTTCACCAATGTTTTTGTGAACAAATCAGCAAGTATGTCTTCCGTTGCACAATACTCCATCTCAATCACTCTCATCTCAATCTTCTCATATATGAAGTGATGTTGAATGTCAATGTGCTTTGTCTTTGAATGATGCTTTGGATTCTTGGCAAAAGCAAAGCATCCTTGATTGTCACACTTCATTGGAATTGCTTCCAATTGCACAAGTCCAATGTCTTCTAAAACTTATCTTAGCCATATTGTCTCCATTGCACCATGACTTGCTTCCATGTATTCCTCTTCCATTGTAGACCTTGCAATTGTTGGTTGTCTCTTGCAATTCCATGAAATTACTCCTACTCCAACAAAGAATATATATCCCATTGTTGATCTTCTATCATTTGTATCTCCAATTCAATCCGCATCACAATATCCATGCAATATAATACTATCACCTCTAAGGCACAATTTGAAGTTCAAAGTACCTTTTAAGTACGTCAAGATCCTCTTAATGGTTGTCCAATGAATTGGTCCAGCCTTTGACATGTGTTGACTCACAACACTCATCGCATATACAAGATCTATACTTGTACCAACCATTGCCTACATAAGTGAGCCTATTGCTACCTTGTATGGAACATCTTTCATTTCTTCTTCAACTTCAGTAAATTCTTCATCCGTAACCTTCATTAACTTCAAATTTGCCTCCAAAGGTGTTCCAATGGACTTGCATTCCTCCATGTTGAACCGTTTCAATACTTCTTCAATGTACTTCTTTTGGCTCAATGTAATGATCTTCTTAGCTTGATCTCTCACAAACTCCACTCCTAAGCAATAGTCGAACTCTCTCAAAACACTCATTTCAAATTCTTTTGCTAGCTTTGCGTTCAATTAATCCATCTTTTTCAAAGTATTGGTCAAGATGATTAAATCATCAACATAAAGAATAACAATCTGCAAGAAGGCTTTTGATTGCATGACATACATGGAATGATTAGCCTCACTCCTCACAAATCCCTCATTCACAAATAAGGTGTCGATACGTTGGTACCATGCCCTTGATGATTGTTTGAGTCCATACAAGGATTTCTTCAACTTATACACAAGGTGTTGTTTGCCTTCTTCAACAAATCTTTGAGGTTGATCCATGTAAATATCTTCTTCCAATTCTCCATTCAAGAAAGCCGTCTTCACATTCATTTGGTGCATCTCCAAGTCCATTGCTGCTCCAATTGCCACAATGGTTCTAATAGTGGTGAATTTGGCCATGGGAGCAAATGTCTCATTGAAATCAATATCAGCAACTTGTGAGTAGCCTTTGGCTACCAATCTTGTCTTATATCTCATAATATTATCCATTACATCTCTCTTTATTTTAAACACCTACTTACAACCAATTGAAGCTCGATTTGGTGGAAGTTGAGTCAATTTCTATGTTCCATTGTCCATGAGTGATTTGTATTCTTCTTCCATAGCATTCTCCCACTTCATATCATTCGTGGATTTTATTGCATCACATAAATTCAACAGATTAGCAAGAAGTGCAACATCGACATGTTCTTCACTTACTTAAAGAAAAATGTGGTCCTTCCACCATTCACGATGTTGTTTTCTATCTCTCAAAGGATATCTCCTTTCATTTGAAGAAGACTCAACTTGTTGCACTCCATGGTCACCTCTAACCTTCTTTTCTTTTGAAGATAGTCTTTTCTCACTCAAAGATTTATAATCCTCATCACCATCATCATCAACATCTTCATACTCTTCATTACTAGTCTTAGCAATTATAGAAGCCTTCTTCTCCACCTTCTTTGCCTCTTCATCTTCATTTCCACCTTTACAACCATCATTGTCTTTGTCTTCTTCCTTCTTGGCTGAATTTGAAGATGTGTCCACAAATACACCATTACTTTTACGTGGACACATCTCCAAGTGCTCACAAGCACTCTTGTGCTCCAAAAACTCAACATCACAAATTTTGATGATCTTTTTAGTCTCCAAATACATGAGCCTATAAGCCTTTGTACCTTCTCAATATCCAACAAACACACATTTTGTACATTTTGCATCAAATTTTGATCTCATATAATTTGGTATCTTTGCATATGCTATGCATCTAAAGGTCCTCATGTGAGAAACACAAGGTTTTCTCCCATTCCAAGCTTCTTCCGGCATCATTGATGTAAGTGCATT